GCACACTCAACAATAGTTGAATACAATATGTCACCTATCAAACAACGTTCTACACAGTCCAATCAGCCACACTCGTAACAACGGACACAAACAACAATATGCACTACAATGCAGTCGGATGCATCGAACAACCAAGACACTTAAAGACTAACGAGTTAGAAAACTTATTCAGTCCAAAGTTCTTGGAACAAAAGTCTGAATGATACTCTTCCGAGAATCACTCACTCAAAGTCCAGCGTTGTTGTCGTTCCGCTGCCCCCGAAGTTTCTCTTCCAGGAAACCTCGCGTCTTAAATTGGCCATTCTCCAAGCACCAAACTTCTTCGCCGGAAACACGTCGGCTTCACACACGAAGCTGTTGCCACGCGTCTTCGCTCGATAGCGGTTGACACACACTCTTGCCTGTAGCTCGAGTCTTCACCCCTCAGGTGGAAATCCTCTTCTTCTCCTCCTTTGTCACTGAGGACAAAAGGCTTCGCCCACAAGGCGGAACACCCTACGCACTCTGGCGCATACTTTCTTCTTCTCCTGCTTCGTCACTAAGGACCAAACCTTCACCTACAGACGCGGCGGGATACCCAACGCACTCTGGCGCATACTTTCTTCTTCTCCTGCTTTATCACTAAGGACAAAACCTTCACCGACAGACGCGGCGGGATACCCGACGCACTCTGGCGCTAACTTCCTTCTTCTCCTGATCTCCCATCTCGGATGCTCGGTTAAATACCTTCCGCGCGAGATTCCAGAAAGTTCTCATCATTTCGTTGGCGCGATACGCAGCGAAGGCTGGGGAAAGGGTGAGACGGTACGAGGGCCGTCCGCGAAAGATGACGCAACCCTGCATCACCACGCCCCTTTCCATCGAGAACTCTCTAGGGCTTGCTCGGCCGCCGATGCGAGGAGGTTCGTTGGCGAACCTATGCTTCCGAAGGGAGAGGGACGCGCGCCCGGGGAGTCTTTGGATGCTTGTTTTCTTTTTTTTATCGTTGACCTCTCGGCGCTTCGTCGCGAGAATGTGGCAGCGCGCCCTTTGTTGAGCGTTCGTTTTGTGACACCCGTATCTGCATGTTACAATGCAAATGTCGTCGAAAGACGATAGTCTTGCGTCTGGAGAAAGCGAACGAAATGTTTATTTGGTGTTCTGTACAAGAAAATCGGTGAATGGTATTCTGGGGGGGGGGGGGGCGCTCCGTCAGAGTTCCTCGAGCGTGCAGCGGAGGCGAACGAGCGCATAGAGTCACGTCACACGTAAGACATGAGCGCTATCTGGCAGTTACCTTGAAAAACGAAGCGCGCGGCGTGCGCGCCCGTCTAAAGCGATAAAGTGTAGAACGCAAGGCAACAGGTAGGTGCCGCCACCGTGTCGTCTTAACAAAACTTTGGAAACACTTGCTTTCTCGTGCAAGCGTTGCATTATCAGTGCAGCGTGATATATGCTATATACGTTCCTTATAATTACTTATGTATGCCTTTTCTTGTATCAAGGCACACATACAGAATATTGACGTGTTGTTATGGTGCCTCAGATATGTGCAATAATTGCTTTTAAATTGACAATTGCACAAGTATGAACGTTTGAACTTCAGCAATATACATGAGTTGCACGTATGTCACATCCAGCAACTGCAGGACCGAGAACCACCATGTTTGTCAACATAAGCAGCTACCATGAAGCGTAGTCGGGAGCTTTGCAGTGGCAAAATGTGGTCTTCGGTCGCGCTACCGGCTTCACCATAACTATTTGGGCCATCTTCGGATGCAGAATAGTAACCGCCCCGGTGGTCTAGTGGCTAAGGCACTCGGCTGCTGGCCCGCAGGTCACGGAATCAAATCTCGCCCGTGGCGGCTGCATTTTCGGAGGAGGTGGAAATGCTTGGACCCGTGTGCTTAGATTTAGGTACACGTTAAAGAACTTTAGATGTTCGAAATTTGCAGAGCCCTCAACTACGGTGTCTCTCATAATCATATAGGGGTTTTGGTACGTTAAACCCCAATCTGTTACTGCAGTCATCACTTCATCACAGGGGTTAATTTCAAGCTATGACCAAGTTTGTCGCGTTTACTTACGTGATCGCGTCGCTTTCTCCGGAATGCCACCTAGATTCACAGCGCTGTACAGCCGACCATTTGCACTTGAATAGCCACGTCTCGTGTTGTTAACTGAGGTTATCAGTGCAACATATGTGAACGTACCTTCTTTTAACCCGCTAATTTAATAGACAATGCGAACCGCGACTGAGCACTGAGCCTCCTGGTTGCTGGGCTACGGCCGTTATGACCCGACTGCTGCCGCAGCATCAGCGCAATTTCACTGCTCTCGAAAGCGCAGACAAATACGCTGGATTCAGTCGCAGCGGACACGTCTTCCACGGAATCCGGAACATCGCTTGAACTGACTGCCGTAGACGCAGAACCAGAGCGTGATTAACCCCCAGCAGTAGATCCCACGAAACCGTAGATAACGAGAGGAAAATAACCTAAGCATTGCAACGCTACTGAAATACTGAAATGAGCACAACTGCTGTGACGTCTCAACATGGGCGTAAGCAGGAGCATGCAAAAGGGGCATTAACGCCTCCTGAACCACACCCGAATTTCTCCAACCAGGATGCAACACGGGTTCGCACTCCTCACTACAAAATCCCATCGACGCTCATATTTTACTTCAACCGGGAAAGAGCATCGTAGCTATCCCCGATTAGAATGACGACAGGCTGTGATGGAAGCTGCTTTGCTGCTATGCTCTTCACCCAACCACTGCATGGTGAAGTAGGCCATCCCGCGACTTACAGACCTTCATTAGCGTGACGTGACTTGTCGAAAGCACCGCTAGTTGACCATGTCGTCGTGTGTCACGGAAGGCAGCACATCGGCGTAGCATCCTTACCGATGCACAGCTCGTACGGGTCGATATGCCATCGCACATTTCAATTTTAGCTCGGTAACACACAAGTCAGTCCCACAAGCTCTTCGAAGTACGACGGGCAAAGCGCTCGCACGTTTCATTTCGATATATCGCCTGAATGACCCTGACAAGTTCCCAACCGGCGGTAGGCTGCCCGCGCAGCCTGATTAGCCTTACAATGTTGACAAACACGGCGGTTGCTCACTTTTCCAGCCGGAAATGACGTCATGTGCAACCCATGTATTGGTGGGCGCTGCGGATGTGGTTCGCCGTTTGGGGTATCGTTTGGTGCCATTCGAGGTACCGTTAAGGGCGAACAAACAGACAAATGTACAGACAGACAGACAGACATACAGACAGACAGACAGACAGACAGACAGACAGACGGACGGACGGACGGACGGACGGACGGACGGACGGACGGACGGACAGGCGGACGGACAGACAGGCAGACATACTGGCAGACCAAAATTTTTGCGTGGAGAGTCCCCAAGAAAGACTATCGACTTTAATAAATTCTACACGTTTGTTGTGTCCAGCTCTTCGTGTGGAGGGTCTTTGCGTACAGAGGAAACCCACAACAGGCTTGCAATAGCCTCAAAATTTGGTGACACCACCCCTTTAACAACCACAATGTACTATGAAGCTTGCCTTTGTCTCGCCTTCACTGCAGAGCGCGTCAGCACGAGGTTATAGCGGAGGCTTTCCAGCAGCGAATAATGCCCGTCATACAACTGCTTTTTACTAGTTTTAGTTATACTGTTGTGTAGTACGTCAAAAAGGGGCACTGTTGCTTATTTTCTGGAACGGCATCTTTCGTCTTTGGCCATCTAAGAGTAGATTATATTCAACCAGCGCTTAGTCCCAAGGGGCTGGACTATAATGAAGTCGATGGCATGCAACACAGTATTGGGGCGTTGTGTTTGAGTCCTTATACCAAACACAATCCGACAGTCTCCTCTAAGCAAATTGGAGAGCCCGGCGATTTTGTTGAAAATGAATGCAGTGGCTCAAGGCGTGATCATAAGATGCTATGCAGTTGCAGTTGCCACACTTGGACCAACGCCATAGCTTAATGAGTTGGTACAGGCTACACCGAGCAAGGCCACGGTGACTTTCAACTTTTAGGGACAAGCAAGTAGGGCCTCACGAAAAAGAAAAAAAAATATATCTGAGACCAGTCCCATATCTGTAGTTAAACTAAACAAAGCGCTTTAATTGCCGTAAGCGAGAAAATATTGCGAATATAATTTAGCGAAATCAGCCAAATTAATTACGTGTAAGGACGCTGGCCGCTAGCGAGGAATCAGTCGCCAACGTGAGCTCACAGGTCACGTGTCTGAGACCAGAACAATGAATTAGACAGTACCACCTAAATGATTAGGTCATTTTATTTAATTTCATGCACATAGGCACGCACAAGGCTCGTCATAAGTCGCAGCAAAGTTTCACTTCAATATGCTCATGTTACACCCAAGAAAATAAGCTTCGCAATGGATTCAAAAATTGGAGGACGCTTCAAGAGGAGAACGGGACGGCGTAATCGGGCATCGCCTTAACCTGGATTCGGAAGCACGTCGAATGGAAACTGACGTCTGTGAGCATAGCACTGGCTGTTTCAAACTATCCCAGAATGGTTACTGCAAGTAAAGTTGCGGAGTCTCACTACGCCATCCTTTCGCGAATCAGGCCCAGTATAAGCGTCTAAGGTAGCTTGTGAGAAAGCTGCTCAGCACAAAAGAGTGTAACCTCAGCGCACCCGGAGTAGATGAGGATCAGCGCAACTACATCCCGAGTGTGCTGTGTCTTCAACTTTTTGACGCTGGTCAATTTAATAAAGGATTACCAACTAGTCCGATCCCACACTTGAGTATTACTAGTATGCCAGCTGCCACAATACATTTAGAACATGTACATTGGTACTCACTAAAATGAGTCACGCCTTGACAGGTTACTGGTGCTTACTTTGTGATTTTCGTACATTTAGACTTCTTTGGTTGATACTCATGTTGTAGCTCGGAAGAACAGGTATTCTATGGTCAGATTTTTGAGGCACAAACGTGGTTGACACGCTTACACTATTCGTTTGCGTGCAGATTCCCGGATGACCCCAACACTTACGACATTGACGAACAGTTCATGTGGGGATCAGCGTTTCTGTTCAATCCGGCACTGTACCAGGTAGGCTTGTTCCTTGTATCAGTTTGTAATATCAGCGCAAACCACGTACACGTCAGCAAGGTGTCAAGAAAAAAGAAACAGTGCTTGTTTTCCTATGTTTTGAATCATAAGCGTGCACAGGGTTCTCCATAGGGGAGGGGGGGGCAGCAAAGATTTGTTACAGCACCCCTATCCCGAACAAATCATTGTATGAGGCAAGTAGCTTTACTGCCCCCCCCCCCTTCCATGTGCACAAAAACGTCAGAAGTTGCATTGCTGATACCGCACCATCACAACAAAAAATCAATAGTATATGTGAATCTCTCCAGAAATAACAAGGTTTCTAGTTGGAAGCAAATAAATTAGATAAAATGAGCGAGGAAGTTGGTTGACCCCAAGTGCTAGCTATTAAAAACAGGCTATTAGAATGGAAAAGCAAAGGAATGCAACAGAATTAAGCTGACTGACTTATGTAACATGTCGAATGGGCTAAACCATGCAGTGATAGTTGGAAAGGGCTGAGCTCTGGCTAAACCGAGTGGTTAAGACCTGCATAAGAACAATATCCCATGCAGATGTCCTGACAACGTTAACGAGCAACGATAACCAGAGTGCGGTCATCCATGTACGAAATTATTGACGCTGCAAGAACCAGCATAAGTACCTGGCTCAGAACGTTACCAGTATCGTGCATGCTTGCATGAACGGGAAGTTCTTTGAACTCGTTTACGTGTTCAAATACAGTTGCAATGAAATGCCGCTTTAACTTTGTCTTATGGTAGGACATGCACCACCGCGGTGGTCTAGTGGCTGAGGTACTCGGCTGCTCACCTGCAGGTCGCGGGATCAAATCCCGGCTGCGGCGGCTGCATTTCCGATGAAGGCAGAAATGTATGTCCCTGTGCTCCAATTCGGGTGCACGTTAAAGAACCCCAGGTGGTCGAAATTTCTGGAGCCCTCCGCTACGGCGTCTCTCATAATCATGTGGTGGTTTTGGGTCGTTAAACCCCATATATCATCATCGTATGGTAGGACATGTGCACCAAGTTCAGACGAACACAGAAAAAAGGAAGTAGACAGAAAGAGCGGAAACCACTAAACGGTTTATTTGTTCTTGAATAAGCTTCTCCGAATGTCTTTGGTAAAGGTGTTAAAGAGAGAAAGCAAACAATTTATGTCCACTTCATATTAAGCACAACATGCTCAGGAAATAGCCGTCTGCCTTATATGAGGTTAACTGAAGTGTGGCTTACGCAATCATCACCCTTCTATTTAGTGATGAAAGCTTCTAACCGTTCGCGCCCCACTATCGTACAGCTATTTCCTAAAAGCATTATCATTTTGAGCAAAAGCTCGCATCCTAAGTACGTGCCACAGTGAGCGGGTGGGTGCTCTCCTTCTACTCACAAGGCATGCTCCATGGCGCGCTCATTCGCGTAGCCTGCGTTGGTCCGACGTTGGTCCCACGTAGGACCTTCCAGAGAGCGGCAGTTCATATACTTTTTCGGAGAACATTCGGCATATAGCTTTCAGCATGCTTGGTTCCGCAACAATTTTGCTTAGAGATTTCTTTGCACCAAACCATAATCCAGCAAGATTTATATAAGCTAAAAGAAATGCATGCACGCCACGCCCATATATTTGCCTCATCTTTGCGCGAAGGTGCTTTATGCCGGTGTGCACCAAGACTTAAGTGACGTATTTACGTCCCGGATATGACGTTGAAAAACTGGACCCGATCAGACGGCAAATAAAAAAGTTCCGTCAAAGGGAGTCAAACCATGACCTCTCGGTGCACAACAGACGCTGGGAACGCTTTTCATTGTGCCATGGCCTCTTTTTTAATAATGCAATGTTAATATATTATATACACATGCACATGTGCCCCACTTCATCCGCCAGTGTGAATTAGCCATGGCCACACAAACACGTGTTTTATATCTGCCACTTTTCTCTGACACTGCACTACAATACATAATAAGTACACTATAACAATGGATCAACACTATTTACAATATACACAGCCCAGGAGTGGAGGCCGGCTGAGAAATTCTTGTAGAACGTTTTGCGCGTCATCTGCCTATTGCGCGCTGCCCCCGGAGCTCTTCGGGGTGTTGTCGTCGTTTGCAAACTGTAAAGTGATGTAATGCATCGTGATTCACGATCGTGGCTTCCACGAATAGCATCTGACACACGTCCTTGCTACGAGTGTGTCCCATTCGGCGCGTTTCCTATAGGCGAAGAAAAACTTTGGCGACGCCTTCAACACCGCGAGGAGGCGACTTTAGCCCAAGCGTAAGCTTCGCTCGTATACCTTCAAAGAATAATAGCGCGATGGAAACGAGGACGAGAGAAAGAAAGATACTCGCCACGGTGGTCTAGTGGATAAAGCACACGGCTGCTGAGCCGCAGGTCACGGGATCGCATACCGGTTGCGGCTGCCGCATTTTTGATGGTGACGAAAATACTTGAGGCTCATGCGCTTAGATTTAGAGGAACGTTAAAGAACCCCAGGTGGTCGAAATATCTGAAGACCTCCACTACGGCGTCTCTCATAATCTTATGGTGGCTTTGGGACGTGAAACCCAAACTATTATTATTATTATTATTATTATTATTATTATTATTATTATTATTATTATTATTATTATTATTATTATTATTATTATTATTATTATTATTATTATATGGGGAAAGGCAAACTACAGCGCCGATCTCGTCCTCGTTTTTGTAATATTCGTACATGATGGAAACACACCGATTCACCCAATTTATTGCTTTGATGTCACCCGATATCACCCATCCATATTCAAACAGCTCTGCGACGCGCGCCTGCCTCACCTGGCTGTAACAGCGTCCCCACGACGACATAAATTGCGGTCAGGAAACAAGGGACACCCGATGTTCGTTGCGTTCACTTCTAGTCCAGCTGTGAGATTCAATAACTCTTCAGCATGTCGCGAGTAAACGACCTCAGCTCAACTGCCGTGTCTAATCAGTGACGCTCCTCTGGCTGTGGCACGCATTTTTCGGGGCGAAGCCCCTTATTGTCTAGGGCAGTCCGTCCCTCCAGCGTAGCCAGCACAGCATCTCCATCCACAGACAGACAGACAGACATATTGATTGATTGATTGATTGATTGATTGATTGATTGATTGATTGATTGATTGATTGATATGGGGAGTTTAACTTCCCAATATCACCATATGATTATGGGAGACGCCGTAGTGGAGGGCTCCGAAAATTTAGACCACCTGAGGTTCTTTAACGTGCACCCAAGTTTTAGCACGCGCGCCTACAGCATTGTCGCCTCCATCGAAAATGTGACCACCGCCGCCGGGATTCGATCCCGCGTCTTGCGGGTCAGCAGCCGAGTACGTTAGCCACTAGACCATCGCGGCGGGGCAAACAAACACAGACGGATGGATGCTTCACCCCACTTATCATTCACTCCATGGACATGCTGTAATTTTCTAGACAAGGTTCTCACTCGTAACTACCACAGCTACTCCAAGTGTTTGTTTGATTATTGATAATGAATATGAGTGGCTGGAAATGCCAGGTATGACCAAGCGCCAACGTGGTTGAATCCAAGTCGAACAATGCTATAGCTGCCAAACAATTATATACATTGTGCAAGCTCTGTTCAATGTTCCCTGAACAATCAACTACTTCTATAAGGACACGAAGAGAAGAAGAAGGTAAGTTTATTTACAGAAAGGCAGAGAGGTCAGCCTGAGCGATAGCTTGCTCTAGCCTGCTACTCTACATTGGGGGAAGGGAAAGGGGAAAAGAAAGATTAATGGATGACAATGGTGAGATAAAGAGGTGAGTATGTAGTGTTCTTTCTAGCTGAGACACATTTTATAGCCGCGCATATAGTCCAGTTGTTTCCAAAAAGGTTATAACTGCTCTTGTGACCGCAGTTGCACTGTTGGTGTCTGGCCAAGGGCCCAACACGGTCTCATCAGTTAATGACCTACTGCAATATAGTTCAGTAGAAGAAATCAGTGCTTGTCGTTCACGTGCATATGCTGGGCAGACACAAAATATGTGCTCAAGTGTTTCTGGCACATCACAGTGTTCACAAATAGGACCGGTGTCACTGCGACCGATGATAACTGCGTAACGTCTGGTGTACGCCACACCAAGACGAATGCAGTGGATCATACTTGTGAGTTGCCATTTCAATTTAGGGGGCATGCGGAACCTCATTTGCGGGTCCCATTTGTGAAGTCGCTGGTGTCGCCGTTCCGGTTTGGTCCAGTGCGGAAGTGTGTAGCTGCGCATCACGCAGCGAAGCAGGGCGTTCGTGTCAGCTCGTGAAAACGCAATGCGTACTTCAGGGGCACTGCTTAAGGCATTTTTAGCTTGAGCGTCTGCCTCTTCGTTTTCCATCACGCCGCAATGAGCGGGAATCCACTGGAAAGTTATAAGATGGCCATTTGTTGAAGCAACCTGAATACGCGTTTTACTTTCGTGTTATACCAATTCCTACAATGGAGAGATTATTCCTTCCCCCACCCCCATTTTTTTTTACATGTTAAGGCTGACCTTCTGTAGAATATATGGCACAACAATGGGCTTCTTCGGCGGGCACTCGGTGCTGCCACCACCTCTTCCTTCGTTTTCCATCTTTTAAGGAAGGTTATCAAGCACTGCTGCAATTACCTCACATGGGAATCCGGCTGCAAGAAGCCTGAAAACTTCATTATCAAAACTGACATGCATTGAACGCGGACAAGATTTAGGTAGTGCGGAATGAAAGTACGAGCTTGCAATTCCATTTTTACAATGTTTGAACGCGCAGAATTAAACGGCATAAATTCTTCCTGCGCTCGCGGAGCATATTTGCAGCAAAAATGCAGTCTTTCAATTCGCAATACAATATCTAGGAATTGTAACGAACCGTTAGAAGCGATCTCGTGCGCAAATTTCAAACCTTTCTCATAAAGCCTGATAAGGTAAAGAATGCCACTGACTGAACCCATTTAGGTCAGGGCCCTCTGCTGGAATAAAAGTATTAAAATATCATCGGTGGATCTGAATGTTCTAAGTGTCACACACAGGTCCCGTTAATTAGGGAGGCGATCGCCGGGCTAATTCCAAGAGCCGAAGTATCGGCCCCCCGAACCGCACCACGGAAGCGTGGACAATTTAGAAGTGGTCCTTATTGGCGCGCCAGCAGACGCCGGCTGTGGCCCAAAGAACAAGTCAGAGCCGAGAGTTGATAAACAAACAAAATTATATTATCAATAATGGCAGATCGAAAACAATACACGAGTATGCACACTCCACAATAGTTGAGTAAAATATGTCACCAATCAACCAACGTACTACACAGCACAATCAGCCACACTCAAAACAACGGACACAGACAACAATACGCACTACAATGCAGTCGCATGCATTGAACAACCAAGACACTTAAAGACTAAAGAGATAGAAAACCTATTCAGTCCAAAGTTCTTGGAACAAAAGTCTAGATGATACTCTTCCGAGAATCACTCACTCACAGTCCAGCGTTGTTGTCGTTCCGCGGCCCTCGAAGTTTCTCTTCCAGGAAACCTCGCCGAAGTTTCTCTTCCAGGAAACCTCGCGTCCTCAAATGGCCACTCTCCAAGCTTCAAACTTCTTCGGCGGAAACACGTCGGCTTCACACACGCAGCTGTTGCCACGCGTCTTCGCTCGATAGCGGTAAACACACACACTCTTGCCTGTTGCTCGAGTCGTCACCCCTCAGGTGAAAATCATCTTCTTCTCCTGCTTTGCCTCTACGGACAAAACCTTCGCCGACTCCACGGCGGAATCCCTACGCGCTCCGGCGCTAACTTCCGTCTTCTCCTGATCTCTCGTCTCGGCTGCTCGGTTAAATACCTTCCGCACGACATTCCAGAAGGTTCTCGTCATTTCGTCGGCGCGATACGCAGCGAAGGCTGGAAAGAAGGCGAGACGGTTGGAATGCCCTCCGCGATGGATGACTCAACCCGGCGTGACCACGCCTATTTCCTTCTGGAACTTTCCAGCGCTTGCTCGGCCGCTGCTGTGGGGTGAGGAGGTTCATCGGCGAAGCCACGCTTCCGAGGGGAGAGCGTGCGCCCGGGGGAGCCTTGGATGTTTGTTTTCTTTTTTTTCTTTTTTTTTGACCTCGCGGCGTTTCTCCCGCCCGTTATCGCAAGAATTTGGCGGCGCGCCCATTTTTAGCGCTCGTTCTGTGACACTAAGTACTCCTTGATTCGAAAATGAAAGCCCTATCACTAGCGTCAATGGTGCTCGAAAAGGAGTCACATAAAACCGGGCAACACACGCACCCTAATTCCTTTGCGTTGACGGTAGAAATTTTCATCAAAGAAATGAAGGTATGCTTAAAGTCTAAGTTTCGCTAATGCATAAAGCTGCCTACTGACACTTGTGCAGTGTTTTGAAACGTAAGGCAACATTACTTTCAGTGCACTTTCTGACCACTGCACAATGTTTACTGTAAGGCACCAAATAGAACAAGTGCTCCATACCAATGGAAAAAGCATAGCGTTAAGTGCACTGGTACTGAAGGAACTCACTATTTCACCAGAGTTTGTTGTAGGAAATGTGTCATGAACATGCAGGGCACTCAGGTGCGTTTGCAGAAACTGGATAATTAGGCACTGCAATGACCCCTACTCGCTGACAATCGTTGTAAGAGTGCTTTGCATTTCTAAGAATAGTTTGTATTTTCTAGGTCTTTTTTAAAAAAGTTGATACTTGCTGAGAGCAATCGGCGTATGCATCGAAGAACCAAGGAATGAGTTCCTTTTTTTGTTCTTTGATGCTTTTATCAATGATTGTGTACTTGCTGCTTGTCTGCGTGACTGTTTACCCGAATAGTATGCTTTCTGCACAGGGACAAACAGAGGTGAAGGCTTACGTGCCCGCTGGGCTTTGGTACGATGCAATCCACAACAAACCCATGGAAGTCGAGAATGGCACTTACATGACCTTCCCCGCTGCTTTGGGGGACACAATGAGCATCCTCGTTCGTGGCGGCCACATTTTTCCCCTCGGATCGAGTATAGTCACCACAACAGATCAGTAAGAACGTTCCACAAACCTATCGTATTGCTTATCCAATTGCTTATTTCTTTCCGGTGTGCAATGACTTGCATCTTACCGGTGCTTACGTATACGGAGCAGAAACCTGGAGGCTTACAAATAGCGTTCAACCTAAACTGAGCAGGAGGCAGATATTGATGTAAAGAAAAATGATGTGTAACCTAAATAAACAAGGAGAGAGAAGAGTGGGCCAGGAAACAAACCGAGGTTAATATGATAGTTCAAATGAAGAAATGAACATAGGCCAGGCCCCTAGTGCGTCGGCAGGATAACCGCTGGTTATTAAGGATAACTGATTGTATTCAAACAGAAGGCAAACACGTGAGGGGGAAACACAAAATTGGGTGGGCACATAAGATGAAGTTTTCAGGTATAACATGACAACAAAGCCCAGGACCAGGTTGATTGGTGGAACATGAAAAGGGCCTTTGCTCTGCTGTGAACATCGTCAGACTGATGCTGGTGATAGCGATGATGATGAATTGCTTATTTCAATAATTTTATCCAATAGCTTTATTTCAGTTTTGGCCTAATATATTTGTGAGCGCCAACCAATGAGATTGCCCCAACCTCCTTGACGCCACCTGAACGAAACTTATACCGGACGTTGAGAGATTGCAATGCTTACGCATTGATTCCTGGCCCTGGCGATATGTAGCATATCTTTATTCGATTGTATTCTACAGACTATATGAATCACGCTACTGGCTTACTTAAGCTGTATGAGGCATCTTAACAATGATTTCATCTTTGAGAATGACTTTTTTTTTTTCAGGCGCCAGAAGCCCGTGTATTTCAGTGCAGCCCTTGACAAGGATGGCACTGCACAAGGAGAACTATTTTGGGATGACGGAGACTCCTTAGGTGAATTCGCGTGACTTCTCAGTGATACGTTTTAGTGTGATTGGTGTTCATTGCATCATAATCACTTTTTACATGTGTGTCATTATATAATCAAAATACACAATAGCCAAAGAGAACACTTCTAACCACAGTATCAAATCTAGTTACGTTACCTTATAATCACCTCACAATAAACGGTAGAATGTAAGTAGATGTTTGGTGCGTAAGCTCAACCGGTAATGTTTGGTCCTGGGCATCCACACTTCACCATTTTATACCAACCTTTATTTTTCCTTAAAGCACGCATACAAAGCCGACGGATAGCCGCCCATATGCGCAGATAGGGATCACCTGAACACATTAACATAACATGCAAGAATACCAACATGAGATACTCGTAAACTACCGGAAGTGAAAAACGTCTTGCTTTTATTTGCTTTTATTTTTGTCAGAGTCTTATTTTAGTTATCTTCAAACCACTGGGAGTGTTTCTTTCTACGATAACGTAAAAAAAGAAAAAGGAATGACATGGTGTTGCCACAAGAATGAAGCAATCAATGCGACAGCAACGAATTAGAATGTCTCGCCTAAATAATGGCAAGCAGCTGCAAATTTCAGCGCTCTGCTCAGGCACAAAAGCCCAAAATTACCACACACAGGACGAGCGTGAACTAAGAAATAAAAGTAGATATTTTGTAGTAAAAAGTAGTCAAAAGTAGCAATTTTCCGTCACATATACGAGACTAGCACCAACTAGCCCAAATGAATGCTTTAATGCGCTGCGTTTGAACAACGTACTCCTTTCGCAAACATGGCTACTGCAGCAAAAGAAGTGACTTTCGTGCACTCTGTAACTTCAATGCAGCCTTTCTGGTGCAAGTGTAAAATGAACGAAAAATCGAAGGGTATACTTGTATATTTCAAACTGTGTTCAGCAAAAGCCTGAGGCTATTCGACTGACTGGGCCGTGCCCCCCCGTTTTTTTTTTTTTTTACACTCCAAGTGGAATGGCACACAAATGGAATGTGTGTCTTTTCTTTTTATATTTTTTTCCGTGAATCACACGAAGACTATATAATCCGCCTCCGTTGCGCATGCGTTTGTTTTCTCGCGCTTTACGCACGGCCATTGCGCACGACGCAGACGATATCTGCGTTCCACGTGTCCTAAATCTCATTTATCATCCCGCCTTAGGGGGAGAGGCCACAGCTGGTACCGTGCCAGACAGCCGGACTATTGCCTGGCTGGACGGACACCAGTCTCCGCGAGTATGAGACGAATACGTATACGCAATGCTTTGCGTACACTATCCGTCGCGGTCACTGCCACTGCACACGCGTCATAACTCTGACCGCCGTTAGCGTTTGCGCTCCGCCCGCAGAAAATCTGAAATAGCGTGTGGTACCCAAAGCCTCTTTGCAGTGACTCGAGCGTGCGTTAGAGGGAGACAAACGCTATTTGAAAACTTACATGACTCCGACATACAAACGCTACACCAGCAATGCCCGCTAACTTAGTGATTGGTATTAGAAAACTCCTTGCTTTCGCCTTAAAAAATACCACTATTACGAGGTAAGCACGCATGCACGGGCGAAGACGCTCCGTAAGTCAAAGCACACGTGTTAGACGAGCTCACGCATCGCATCGGCCATGACACAGACTTCTGTCTTGATGAGAGTTTTCGGGCGCAGGCATCGAGGCACACTATTTAAAGCGTGCCCTTCGCGCTATCTCACTGGTAATACGGAAAAAACGATGAAAGGCCCCGAGATCGGCTTACCACCAGTAGTGATTGGAATAGCCTACCGTTAGTATTGCATGCTGAAGGACGTGCGTTTTCGTAGCCGTTTAAAGGCGCCCACTGAAACTAGCCGAAAGTGTCCATGTAATTGCTATAGTAATAAAATAAGGCGTTATGCGTGCATTCAGTTGTTCTGCTCGGACCTATATACTGCAGTTGCCAACGTGCTATGCTCTCGAAAACTAGCGACTCCAGCCACTCATTATTATCGAACGGCATGCGAATAAAGAATCTGTCGGGGCCAGTCGGTCGTTCATACCAAACAATGCACAGTGAGGAAAAGTAAAACGCTTGTTTTTGTGTTCGTTTTTCGTCACCATGCTTTTCCATGCTGTTTGACCTGAACTGCGTACTGACACGATTTTTAATAGTACTATCCGTAGTTTGGCGTCCGAAAACAATCACATTGTAACAAGTGTAACAACCTCACAACAAGGATGTTCTATTCACACTATTTTATTAAGGGGCGAACTTGTGCCCAAAGTGAACGACGCACAGCAATTATGAAGAACCGATGGTCGGTAGCCCTCGCGAGCCTCTGCCTTGAGCACCCTCGTTTTTCCTTTTTCACGAACGTTGGCCGCTCGGTGGAATCTCGTACCCACGCAGTGCTGGCTCGTGCATGGCGGCTGGCTTCGTCGTTCGTAGTTGTGCCGTCAGCGTTTCTCTTCGTTCACGACGTCCGCGTTGTGCGGAGCATTGGCAATTTCTTGTGGCAATATGATTATGAGAGACGCCGCAGTGTAGGGCTCCGGAAATTTCGACTATCTGATGTTTTTTAACGTGCATTGACATCGCACAGTGCCCGGGCCTCTAGTGTCTCACCTCCGTCGAAACGCCATCTCCGAGGCCAAGGTGAAGCCCGCAACCTTTGGGTCATAAACGGAACACCATAGCCACTGATCCACTGTTGCGGACTGACACGATTTTGACATGCCGCAAAAGTAACTTTCTTCGTTTTCTTGGTATGCAGTGCTGACACTCTCCACACACGGAGTCAGCCAGCACGTATGAAACATTTTATTTTTGAAGATTTCGTCATTGAGATATGTCCACTGCGGTGAGGCTGGCCTGCTCGACTGGCCTGCTGACCACGCGCAGGCCAGTTTTACCGCAGTGGACATCATCTCGACGAGTCGACATAGTTCCACTGAGTTTGCGGCGTCCTGCATGCAGGCTGAATCACAGAAATTACTGTGGGGATCGCTGGAGATCATGCACTAATTGTTGTTTACGTGCAACACGAGCCGATGGCAAATTTGCCCCTAATGGCAAACTGATGTCACCCTGTGATGTCACACTGCCACGAAAATGCCACCCCATCGCTTTCCGAACCGAAAGCACGTCTTTTTTTTTTCTTTTTAAATATGGGCATTAAACATCTTTTCCCAAGAGGCACCTCAGCACTTCTTCTCGAGTTCTCGACACCCGCGTTCTTACTTAAAGCAACAATCCTAAATTATTTAAAATGTGTGTCAGTTTTCCATGAATAACGGCATGTGTTTCGTTAGCTTTTATAATCAGAGATTGGCGCATCAGTATCATAGACGTGTGCACAGTGGGGCAGAGAAAGCCCCCCCCCCCCCTTTAAAAGTAATCTGAAAGAGGGCACCTAGTGAGCCGCACACCATTATTCTTCGCATATGGTGTTAGTTGATCTCTTGCTCCGTGCCAACGAGCCATACTTCAATGGTGTATCGAGAGATGGTTCGCGCGCTCCACGGGAAACGGGAAGGCCATGCCTCGGCTATGCAGATGCTGCTCAGAAGATTGCCACACGTTCAATGCAGTTCAATTACACTCTATTAAATCACATGGCCCGATTGCCAATTAATAATTGCATAATAAATAGCATGGCATACTTCAAACTGCACGCTTAGTACACTGTCACATGCAGAATAGTCATTCACTTATTATACGCCCTCATCACCAACTAACAATTGCATATTGATGTTACAATATATTTTGAACACATCTACGTGAACAATGTCGGTAACATTGCTTCGTTATTAATGAACCTGTTGTTCTTGCATGTTTCGCAAAAAAAAGTTAGAAAATGTTTTCATGTTCCCCAAAAATAGTTTTTCAAATCGATGTTTCAGATACGATTGAAAATGGGAAGTACAACCTGTACAAGTTTTATACCGACTGGAATCTAAATGTAAGTGCACACTGATCTCCGAAACATGAGGGAGCAACCGCGTACAAACAATCTTTTTTTTTATCGTCCAATTTTCACAGATTGTCTTTTCCTTATCCCGCGTGGTGACTGGATTCACAGAACAACCTATAGTGGATGTTGTTATGGTGAGCGGTGTTCCACAAGCGCCAACCAACGTTACCATGGGAGGTCAAAGCCTGTACTTCGAATTTAGGAACAAGGTAAACTCTTGAGTCTCCATACAATGTCTGAGAAATTTGGGCTCGGTGTATATAACGGCCCAGCTTGGGTTCACACGCGAGCGAAAGTTAAGCGCCTTTGCAGAGCGTATCCATCTGTGCAGGTCAGCACTTCAAATGACAACTTTTCTAGCTTAACTGACATTTTTTTTGTTTCAGCACGAGGCACACTAACATATATATGTATATGTATATATACCAAAAACAAAAGTGATGCTCGGTCCGGGTAAGATTATCCGTAGGGAAGAAGACGCGCGTACGAAGTGATTTTATTGGCGTTTCGGCCGCAGGTCCGGCCTTCATCAGAATACAGTTTATGGTACGAGTGCTGTTTATATACATGTGCATATCAATAAGGTACAAATATGAAAAACCCGCATGAAAGGCGATATATGGGCATATATATATGCAAGTCACACAATTTGAAGGGCACCTGATACACGAGTAAAAAGATATTGTTTCCATGCGCGAGCACGTGACGAGCACGTTGTTTACAAATAAAAGATAAAACGCATAAAAAGATAAAGCACATAACATGAAGAGTAGTCCGACCGGTAATAGCAAGGGGGAAAAGAAGGAAAAATAATAAAAATAATAACAAAAAATCACAAAGACGTTACAAAGCTGCTACGTAATCAACCGATACAGACAATGTAGTGCGACTTGCTGAGCAAGGTTGATTGATATGTAGGGTTTAACGTCCCAAAACCACTATATGATTATGAGAGACGCCGTAGTGGAGGGCTCCGGAAATTTAGACCACCTGGGGTTCTTTAACGTGCACCCATTGCTGAGCAAGGTTGAAAAAAGGTGGACAGGGCGATACAGGTTACGCAGATAGGCAACTAAGTTTTCATACGTTTTCATTTAGACCAGATGCGACGGCGTCGAACTTATAGATGAGGAATGATTCACGGGCTTCTCTATCATAATTTGTGCGGAAACCAGATTCTAGTAATGTGACCTGTAGATTTTCAAAAGAGTGGTCAGGGAGGTGCACGTGTCTTGAAATGGGCAAGTGGGGCAAGGTGCTAGCATGATATTTATGGTTGTTAAAACGCAGTCTAAAAGGCCCTTCTGTTTGACCAATGTACTGTATTTCACATAGCGCACATTCTATCATGTATATCACGCTCTTAGAATCGCAGTCAAGATTGCCCTTGATTTTTAAGGAAAAGTTGGAACCAGTATTGGTGACTTGTTGTCATGTGCGCATGTACGGGCATACCTTTCATCGCCGTTTTCGGCAAGGATGGCACCCGATCGTGTCAGGACTGTCTGCTTTCGACGATGATGACGATGAGAGTATGTCTCGAATAGTTTTAGCCTTGCGATACACTGCTTTAGGTGGTTCGGTGAAAATGGTTCTTAAGCGTTCACTTTCCATTAGAATATTGTGGTGCTTTCTCAGCACATTCAAAACACGCGGAACTGACGCAGAATGGGTAAGGACTAAGTTTGTCTGCGGTGAGGGAGTCGAGTTTTTATCAGTGCACAACAGCATTCTACGAATATCTATGTCGGCACGTTTTATTGCGTCATCAATTAATTGCGGCGGATATTTTTGTTTGACTAGAGCATCCTTTAGTGTTCTGCCGTTTTTTTTTTTTTTTGAAACTCTGATTGCTCTGAGCAGATTCTATTAAAGCGTAAGGCCTGACTGTAAGGGATGCTAGTTTTGCAATGTTTCACGTGGCTACTGTCAAAGTGATCATCCACTATGGCCGCACCGCAGGGAACTTGGTTACTTAGAAAGCACATGTTTACTACAACTAATACTTCTCCTGAACATGCTAGCATTGCTTCATAAACCATTCCATTATGTTGCTATCACATTCATTGCGTCGCTGTTTTCGCGAAACTGCTACTTTTTTCATTATTCTTTCAGCTACTCCTGGTACTTAACGTCGATCAACGATTGGACCATGACTTCGAGATAAACTGGTCATAATAGCACTTGACATGGCGGTCTGAAATTTCCGGCCATACTCAACGGAAGTTGCAAGCATTGCGCAGTGTACTGAATAAAATTAACAGCAGCGTTAACAGGTTTGGTCACTACAGCAGCCTTTTAGATGAACTTAAATGCGCATGATGTCTTGAAGTTGCTCATAGATATGGAAGAATCGATGTGCTTCGTGTTGTTATTATTACCGCCCGCAACATAGGGAAGAAACAATATTTATATGCGCAGGGAAGACAAAATTAAAAGAACTCACCGCAGCTACTGCTTTTGGGATTTTTCTATGTAAGTGAATCCTGATTGATTTGTGGGGTTTAACGTCCCAAAACCACCATATGATTATGAGAGACGCCGTAGTGGAGGGCTCCGGAAATTTTGACCACCTGGGGTTCTTTAACGTGCACCCAAATCTGAGTACACGGGCCTACAACATTTCTGCCTCCATCGGAAATTAGGTAAGTGAATCCTCTTCAAAAGATGGCACGTAAGCGCATAAATCACCCTATTGGCAAAGCAAGGTGCTACACTGCTGACCCAAAGATCAGATACCGGCCACGGCAACCACAGTTTCGCTGTAACTAGATGTAAGTGCGCATTGAACAAGCCCATGTGGTGGAAATTTCCGGAGTCCTCATAACGATGCCATAGTTTTGGGTCTGTAAACCCGGACAATAATAATTGCTTATTTCAGGAAAAACTCGCAAAGCTTGTCATTGCGTAAATATATTAAGAATGACGACATCATATGCCGACCATTGAACAGGACATTGTTCAATCAAAAGCAACGTGCGCACTCAAGTCACTCAAAAGCAACGTGCGCAACATCAATGACCACGCTGGCTGCATCTTGGTCGCCTGATACCAAGTTGCTTGTGTAGTTCACGACGGCATGCCCTTCGGATTGTTCATTCGGGGACATGGTGAGGTTTATCAGCGTCATGTAGAGCACGATCGTCAGGGCCTTGATGATGAAGCCGGGCACGATCTGCCAAATACATGTGCACACTTATGGAGCTACTTATGGAGACTACACACGCATGCTCTTGGAGGCCATAGTGGAGCACTTAGGACATGCAAAAATTATCACTCACTTTCGGATAAGTACGAGACTGCAAACAAAACTTGGGTCAGTTTTTCATCATTTGAATGTTGCAGTATAGAAAACTCACAGTGGTTCAAGGCCGAGCATGTACTCGGCGTCTTTTAGACTGTTTGCACTAAACAACTCGTGGTCACGTAACCTCAGCAGAAATGTCACGTAGGACATTATCAGTCAAGCGTGACATCGCTGTAAATGCTGGCTCTGGTAGTAGTGGCACTGGTAAAACGGTAAGAACATGAAATGTCTTGTGCGTGTTAATGCCACCCTCTCCCCTGTGTGTTATTACACTGAACAAAAAAAAAGGGGGGGGGGGGGGGTAGGACTTGTGTAATATGATTACACAGGTCCCACACGTAATAATTTTAAAATTGCCGGGTGCCGCACTTGACGTATTATACATGGTAATTCATTTTTTGTTCACTTCATTAGCGCGTATAATCGCTATGCGGTGTATCTATTGAATAAAAGAAGCGGTATTTAAACACCTCAGGTGTGTGTGTGTGACGTTACACGACACGTAATAACATGCGTTACGCTTTCCCTTGGCGCTGCTCACAGGTGCGGTTTCATGGCAATTCTTGCGACATACGTCATCGCTCATGCTGTATCATGGTGGTACCCTCATAGACACATTATAGCTAACGAATCCCTAAACATATCCTATGGAGGTTCCATACTATTGTTTGAACCGAGGTGAATTGTTGAGTGAAAGAACGCTTCAGAATGCGTGGGTCAGTTGCGAGTGATTACAGCTTGCATTGGGGCTACTTTGAATGACATGGTAATACCTGCAAAAAGCGTGCTAAAGAAGCATGGAAACTGTGAGGCCCTAGGAGCTCTACAAGTTGTGTAGTTGAGTAGCCATAGAAGAGAACCTATGGCCTTCATTGCTCCAAGTATACAATGGATTCAAGCCCATGATAGTTGTGACAAAAAATGAGGATAAGCTTAAACAGCAATAATAGATGCGAATAGTGTGCTATCCGGAAAACTTGGCGCACGTGTAAGTTATATATACCCGTAGATTGTACTTTAGATAGGCAGTGGTCGCACGCATTTTTTTTCACAGTAAAGTTCTGTTAGTCAGGCTGCAAATTTCATGCTCAGTTCGCACTTCAGCAATAGCGAGTGTGCTGTATACATATCTACAGTGGGCGCAGCTTAAATTCTTTTTTAATGAAATGTTTATCGATGTGCTTAGTAGTGTAGGCGGTTACGTCCACGCGTGAGGGTGTTTCTAGACTGAAGCGTTGTTTTTGAGCTACAAATCAGATGCAACTTGAAAATGGGTTGAATGAGCTAGTGGCATGGGCCACAGCATCATTCTTATACTATCGTTCTTATTGCAAAACGATGGTTTCTGATCTCCACTTGTCACTAGAATATGCAATTAACTAACGCGTGAGTAGCTGCATGCTGTACTTGACAAAAAGCGTTAATTATCAAAGTTCGATGGTTTGAATAGTCTATGGCAGTGGTGGCTACCAGCGCACTTCGCGATTACAAAAAGAAAGTACAGAAGTTGGCAAAAGCATGCGAATGCGCTGTTATGGAACACAGACGTCTTTTCAAGCGATCACGCAACTATCACAGAACATATTTCAACTGTAAAATTAAGCCATGATAAGACACATTAGTTTCCGATTTCATATAAAGTTCCTACATTGAAAAGCAAGGAGCAGGGAGCTTGTGTTGGGCTTCAGCCCACACATTTCACGAATTTCTTAGCGTTCTTTCATAGAGGATAATATACGGCCAACTTCGACTGACTTACGAACCCGAATCGAAGCAAAGTGGCACGTGGTAAGATCTGTGTGACATGGTTATTTTCTGCGGGGCTGGTTGTAACACTACCTGATGACCTCACGTTTACTTGCTGGAATAAGGGGTTAACGATTTCTGGCAATGCGGTGGCAGTACACAAACCATTTGAAGCGAAGTCATGCTGCCCAACTCGAAGGCCATGGCGTTGTTAGGGCTCGCCGATGGAAGGATCAGGCTCAGCTGGCACACCACACTCACCGGTAGGAGGAAGAAGAGTGGCTCTCGTTTCAGCTTTCGAGACTGCGATGAACAAAGTCAACGGTTTCATGACTAGTCAACTTGCTCCGGTAGATATTTGAGCGAGTGAAGGTGTCACTTCCTGGTGGCGCAATAAGAGTATTAATGCCGGTGATATCGATTCAGAATTTGTCCTTAAAGGGGCAGACACACAAAAAAACTTGCAGTTTTTTTTTTTTGCACTTAATAAAAGGACAAGCTTTCATGGGTCAAGAAAATGTACTCGAAAAGTTGAGCGTGCTCTGAAACATTAACTATACATTATGTCTAAAAGCTAGTTGTTTGGTTCTGACGGTATCTTGACGTCACGACACAATATAAGCTTCTGGCCACGTGCTGTTTTCATATCATTTAAGGCTACAGCGCACATACAGACGACAACTGCAACTGCTAATGTACTGTTTTCTGATGTCTGCCGAGATAGCATGCGTGCCAGCGCTCGCGACCAAGCCCGGAACGAAAGCTCGCTGTTGATGCTCGAACGAAGCAGACAACCCCACATCCCTACCTTCACTTTAAAAAAGGACGGCGCCTTTGGTCTATGCTTAATTAAGGGCTCATCGACTGCAGAACTCACGCAATGCTATCGATACGTGCACCCTTCGTGCGACGGAGATCGTCGGCTCGTTTCATTTCTGCTTCAGCCGCGTTCGTCCTCAGCATTTGCACGCTTTTAGTCATGCGTAGAACATAGAACTCGCGGGTCAATGTTATCGATTTAGACTTTATGCGAAGCCTGAAAGTGACGGCGAAAAACCCGTTAAGATAGTTCATTGCAATATGGCTATCGCGATAAAACGAAAATGGAGCAATGAAGTGCTGCTCACAACGCGCTGCCATTGGACACCGGTTTTCCAGTAAGTAAAGATTATAGGAAATGAGCGTTTTCTTGGAATTCAACAGCCGAGATGCACGGACGTCATTGCTGTCAAAACATTGATTTCCGTAATCACAGTTAAACAGTGCCAGGGACCACCAGAGACAAGACGAGGAGTATTACCCGTGCAGAAGGCACACTGGTCTGTTCTCACCGACTCTGTTTCATTGCGACTACGAACCAACTAGCCAAGAGTGCGTCTTGACAAGTTTCATTTTGATAACCCTACACATCAAACAATGACATGATACGTCGGACTGATTAGACCTGTCATGGTGGTCTAGTGGTTAAGATGCTCGACTGCTGGCCGGAAGGTCGCGGGATCAAATTGCGGTCGCAGCGGCTGCATTTTCGGTTAAGGTGAAAATGCTTGAGGCTCGTGTACTTCGATTTTGGCGCGTTTTAAAGAAGCCAAAGGGGACGAAATTTTCGGAGTGTCTCGTTGCGGTGTACCTTGTAATAATATAAGACGTATAAAGCCCTACAATTAATATTACGGTTCAACTAAGTAATGATGACGAGGGGCGAAGAGAACAGACTTTCAACTTGGCGTCCCCTCCTCCCCTAAGTGATTCGGAGTGAGGCATGGTGGGAAGTGGGGGGTGTTTGCCCTGTGCGCAAGCACGAGCTCAATGATGAAAGCGTTGAAAGGCACGCGAGACTTGATATGCACCGACGTACAACCCTGTATCCGATCCTGGTGAAGTATCGCAGCCGACTCTTGAATGTGGTCAACTCGCCGAGGCAGCCCAAAGCGAGAACCGCGATGTACTGGTGGTAGAAAGGCGGAAGGGCCAGGTTGAGCAGCTTCTCCTCGAGCATCCTGTACACGCCGTTATTCTGCGAACCAAATAACGGTGTGAATAACTGACGCTGGATTGTGTTGCGTTGCCACATAGGAACATCTGTGAATGGCGAAGAGGAGAGTACTGTAACAAGCGTACATGTGGTCATATATATAGCACTCCTGCCTTTTTTTTTTTTGCAACGGTGCTGTAAATATTTTTTTTTATTTCGAATGTCTGCCCGCAGGCATAATAATTTTTCAAAAATACACATACAAGTTTTCTTCGTGTATAAAGTCTAATAGAGAACGGTAGTGTGCTCCACGAAGCGAGCGGTCAAATTCGGGTGGTCGGCCAGGCCCGAGACCTGTTGCACGGAGGTGACGCGTCGATGACTTAATTGCAGACCAGTGCAGGTACACAGTAAGTGTGAGGCAGTTACATCTTGGATTGGGGCGTCACAAAATGGGCATGATGTGCCATACGGGCCTCGGTACTTTTGAGCCCAAAGGGCGGCCACGTATGGGGTAAGCGCAACCCCAACACGAAGCCCCCGCAACGTAACCTTCTCTCGGTGGGTGATAGGTTCTATAGATGCGTGTATATTTTTTATTTGCGTCAGCAAAAACGTATGTGCCACACTAATTACTCGAATCCCAACACTACTACCAATTCACCGAAAATGAAGAAGAGCGGCACACATGCGGCCTGGAAACTGTTAAGTCTTTATCTGTAGCAGTGTAGCAACGCAGCGCAAAAGTGCTAGCACCTTTCGGACAGCCCCGCTACACATGAGCAGTTGCCTTGTTCAACCTCGGGCGTGCTAGACAGGTTTTTCAACAAGCAAATCTGATGTGGTTCGCTGAAGAGGCTCAATGTTTGCACGCACAGGGCCACTATTTCTATTGTTTGGCGAGTGAAATTTTTTATGCCGATGAGAATGAGCTGGTCCGCGGCCAGCTACCTTTCGTCTACGACAAAGCAACGCGATCCGTCGTCACAATCAAGACACTTCAGCACAGCTCCAAGCGAAAGTGCCGCGTGGATCTTGTTAGGTGCAGTCATCTTTGTTTTTTCGACCAGTGTTACCAGCACACGAACCGTTTTCTGGAGTTGCAATACGCTAAGCGTAGTGCACGTCGAATGAGAAATATGTCAAATAAGAATAAAATAGATTTCTTGCATGCGTATATCACGCCACTACTGTTTCGCTCTCTCTTCTCAGGTCTTTAGTGGCTCGCTCTTTCAGGAGGTCCACGTGAGCATGCTATTGTTGCTTACTTATACAAAGTATTTATACAGAATCGCAGCCGCGAGTCATCATTCATATAGTGTAACCCTTCCTCAGCGTTTTGTTTGTTTCTTTCGCACTTCGAGTGAACAACTGATTTCTGATGCTGTAAAGCGTTGGTTGCAGCACAATACCAGACGTGCAGCCCTTTTTATGATTCTGGTTGGATGATAATTTACGCACTACGCAGTACTCCTTTATTTTACATTTTATTCGGAGGAACTGTTACAAAACGTAACTTAAAGCATGACTGATAATGGCTCCAGCAAGCCGGACACATACGGTAAGATTTCTGCGGAGCAACTTCATACCCTCTAATGAAGGCCCGTTTCTCTCTCTGCACTCACTAGAGCCTTTCAGGCTGTAATTAAGCGCTATGTGATGACGCTTCGGCCCCGAGGCTGAAGGTCAGCGTATTGGCAAAGATGGCGTAATTAGCCCTAAAGAGCTTTTAAATTACATTACTAAATACTTTTCTACAATTTTCAAAATATACGTTATCTTACGACTTACGCCTTGCTGAATGACATTATGAAGTACAATTCATTTTTGGGAAATGAAAAAAAAAACACAACACAATATTCTAAGCTTGCTCATCCAAATTTCGGACACCAAATGTTGCAGCAAGGTAATCATAACTTGCATATTGACTGGTTTGTTTTTTCTTTCTGTTCTGTGAGTCTCTTAACTTTAGAAAAACGAGAGCCGTCAAATGCAGGTGGTCAGTAAGCCTTTTTCTAAACTTTCTCTAGGTTTTAGGCCTTATATGTTGAAAAAAAAACTGACTGCTTCTCATTCCGCAAGAAAAAAATAACCACTGCATAACGTAAGAGCTGTACATCGAGCACACTTTTGGGTGTAATCAAATGTGGGTGTACCTTGCTTAGTACAATGGGACTTCGTGGGAGTGCACATGAGCCTATTGTGCGTTGCCTCAAAGATTGAACCAGCTATTGCGTTTAGAAGAATGGCATTTTTTCGGTTATGTGAGACTCACGAGACTGCAACAGATGCCGCTGTGAAAGCCCATTAATGTTTTAAATGTCGCTTCTGACCCTAACATAATCAGGTATGAGAATTAGGGCAATGACGATGGTACAAATAGATGCCCTCTGCCGACTATAAAAAAAACATTGAACAAAAGAAACGTGCGGAATATAGTTTTTGTTATATTCAGGGAATAATTTTGTTTCGTAAAGACCAAAGGCAATGTTATTGGTGCTATGCTGACGAACGACCACACAGTAGTTTCTATGCTCTGTAACCAGGTGGCAATCCACTGCAAAGTTAAAAACAAAAGAAAAACGTAGTGTCATTGCCAACAATATTAACCATCGGCAACAATGACATGAATGGGCCTGAGCCCTACGATCATGCTGCGAATAACTAGAGATATTTCATTTCTGAGAAAAGTTGTACCTGAAAAGTGGTACCCTGAGAAAAAGTGGACACGGCAGCAGTACGCAACCACTCCCTTGTTCGACTGTGCTAGCCTCAGTGTTAACGCGTGAGCAAGAAACGAACATTGCGACTTTGGATGTCTACAGCATCAATGGACAAACCACGCCCTCCGCAACAAGATAAATATGATCTATTCTTGCAAGATGCGAAGCTTTAGTGAAAATACGTGGCAACTCGCGCTTTCAATGATAACCTACAGCGCACACATATGAGTTTCGCGAGATTTTCTGAAGCCACATAGGTTTGCTAAATGTTATTGTCCGACCTTTTCAGTTGAAGCTTACATAGAGCCTTCGTCAGTGCTTTTGAAGTGCCTGAATCCCATAACATTGCACGCGGAAGGTCACACGAGCTCGCGAGTTATCCTTAATTGGCCAGCACTGTAGCGCTTGCTTTTGTACGTTTGTTGGCAGCATACTGCAAGCTATTTGCTTGTTCACCGGTTTGAGAGCAAAATGTTGTCCGCTCCAAGTTGACATGGTGACGCGGAGCTTTCGAAGTCATTTGGTGAAGAAAATGTTTCAAATTGTTTTCAGCAGTGATGTCGAAAGATACCATATTGACGACGAGGTTTTGGCATTGGAGGTAGACGGCTGCAAAAGCATCGAGAGTTACAGTGACGAATAGCTATATCAGCTTCTTACTCAGGAGAAACGAGTTGTACTTCACGTCCTCTCGTGCGTTAATATATTCACCTGCGTAAGTCACTTCAGTATATTCAGTATGGAATATCCTTGAGCGAGACCAGAATAAATGTATAGTTATTCTGTTGCATTTTATACAGCAGAAATATTGTGGATATTATGGCCCGCGAATGCCCTCGTGCTAGAACAGCGAAGTGAAATGGTTGGAGCGATTAAACGTGCAGTCACGGCCGTTATCAACGCTTTTTGGCTAATTGCTCCGGTGCTTCACCGGTACCTTCCGAATGGCATTATTGTTCGAATAATTTTTCGCTACGCCGTAGAAGTTGACATTGCCAAAAGCATACGTGTGTCTTCTTTTCGAAAATCATGTTTCGATCGTGCTCATCGAACCTGCAACATCAAGTGCGGTGAATTGTGAACGGCTAGAGTCGGGGCATGGCTGTGGCCATAAGCGTGCGCATATGTGGAGCAGGGGGAGAGGGTGAGAGGGGAACGCAAAGCCAGCCCCATGCATTGGCATAATAAGGAGCTGCTACACGAACCTTACTTCACCCCCCCCCCCCCAACCTCTTTAGGGGAACCCTTTACGCGCATGACTGTGACACGAGCGCTATTCTGCACGGGATGTTCAATGCTTGTGTATCTGCGCAAAAAACGACGATGGCGCATTGCCCGCAAACCATCACCGCGCTAAACATTCAGCTCCGCGCAGCAGCGATGACGCTATACGGGCTGGCGTCCTATTACTGTGGCAATTCCGCCAGGCGGCTCGGCACATACTACTTAGGAGAGCCGTTCAGTTGATATGTTGATTGTGGTTCATGCAGTTTTTTGTAGCACGCTCAGGATTTCGCAAAGCATCGTTCATGCATGGTAACAGGGCGGACCCTTCAGTCACTAAACAAGATGCATTAAAGAGTTTTAGCAGAGCGGGCCAGCGGCCAGCGAACCGGAGCGGACGAGCGCAGCGCCAGCGGAACGACGCGCGAAAAAAAGAGTTTTAGCTGAGCGATCGGCTGCTGCCCCCAGCGAAGCGTTGTACTGCGCCATCTGTACATTCAAATTTGAACTACCCTGATAGGATAAAAAAGTAAAGGTTTATTTTTAGATGCTAAAACCACAATACAAACACGAATTTTATGTTTCAGTACATATTATTTTACTTTAACGGTGATTTGTATATTTTAGCGAAGTCGTTAAACTGAGGAAAGTACGTCACCAACGCCAACTGAAGTCGAAGCTCCAAGCCAGCTGTTTGTTGCCGCGCTTTTTAACAGACAGTGTGTGGCTTGCCGCTGCAAATTGCCGCTGATAACTGCTTTGAACAATGCCCCAGAGCATACTGCAGGACCCCCTGCTCCTGACTCGGTTGAAATGGTCCGAAATAGTCGACGTCTTGTGCTTAGAAGTTCTGGGCGAGACACGGCGTGACCCACTCTCCATGCGAGGTCTTTTGGACATTGATGCGATCGACAGTGGCGTGTTCAGAACGTACTTTCGGTTGGAAAAGGACGATTTACCCAGGCTACAGAGAGCCTTGTGCATACCTGACAAGGTAACAACTCCGCAGAGGGTGTCAGTTCCCGGCGACGAGGCCCTTTGCATCACGCTAAGAGGACTAGCCTACCCAAACCGGCT